TTTTTTTTTTTGGCAAAGGTCATCGGCTCCGAAGACGCGAAGCGATAATCGTATGCGGGAATGCATTATATATTGGAATTAGTGATGCGAATTCGATATCGTGAAAAGAAAGAAACTTAACTAAGCCGCCAATGATGTAAACTAGTCGCTGCGTTTTGTAAACAATTAATCGATCTAATGGTGATAGGTAATATCGCGTAGGCGGTGAACACTGATACATAATTGCGATACATAATTGATGCATTCATTGTAAATATGTGTTGTCGCATTTTAAAAATAAACCTTCGCCGTGTTCGCATTACGTAAGCTCTGGTACATCGCCGCGACGACGTCTGTTATTTCGTGCATGCAAAACAAGTATATATATATATGTGTGTGTACTCTCACCGTGCGGTTCGTTTAGTTTCCCTTTGCAGTAGTCGTCAGTATCGTCTTCTCGTTTTGGACGAAATTCTTTAATCCAAATATAGATTGGAACTGGCGCGTCTTTACATCACTGCAGTTAGCGTTCAACTGAGTCCTCACTAGTAACCACCACTAAACAGTATGTCGAAAGTTGATGTGGAGAGATAGGGCTCTCTTGCTTCTTCACCTTTTGTTAAGCATTCGGTCGAGAAGCGTTCCTTACATTTTTTTTTTCTCTCTTCCTTTCCCCGGCCGGCTAAAGGTACCGCTGAATGAATGGACACCCCACAAGAATGAAAAAAAAACACACATAAATCAACCGTAAAAGGGATTAAATCCCGAAAATACTATTAGGAAGCATTCACAAACACACGATGGTATTTCGAATAATCGCGCGCTGCTTGATAGTCGCAACGCGTTCAAATGATTTTCCTGTTGCAATTGTATCGAATAATATTGTTTCAACGCAGGTTTGATTATTTTTGTTTTGTACTGGTAACTCGAGGAAGCTGGCACTAATAACCACTGGAATAGTCACCTAAACAAACTTACTCGTTTACTAAACGCCCCCCTCGACTAAGTGCACTAAGGTCAACGATATTCAATGGAACGATAATACTGACCTTATTTCCACAATTGGAGTAAACTTTTAAGATGCTTGAATTCATTACTTCACTCGACTATAAATCACAAACACACACACTGATTTACTAAATCATACACATATTGCAAACGCAACATATCTAATTAATAAGTTTAGTAAGAATCTATTTTAAGAAATCAATTTAAATAATAAATGCGTCTATTGACCCCATCACGTTTTTTTTTTCAAGCATATTAGTGAAATACAAAAAAATATATGCAAATAGCAATGACATAATATTGTCTTATTATACTAGCATCTGCATTTATTAGTTTTTTTTTTTAATCTATCCGAGGTTCTACGTCTATATTTAAATCGTTTGAATAATTTATGATTTTAGAAAGAAAAATGTAATACAGTGGAACCTCGCTTAACGAGTTTAATCCG